GGGAAATTTCAATGTGAAAGTGATGTGGTATGTGCACATCCCAGACAAGTGCCTTCTGGCCTGCAGACTCACAAGATAAAAGGCAGAAATAAGGCAGCCTGGAGTTCGCTGTGTGAGCTGTCACAATAATTTCTTGGCCACTGGTTGCATTCAAAATTCTTGTAGGTTGTATCCAGCCTACATGCAATAGGTTGTCCAGTGCTGGTATATGCTGAAAAATTCCAAATAAATAGTGAGAAAGCAAAGTGGATCATGAAAATTATTTGGTTTAACACACTGAAGTGGAATGGGCAACTTGAACAAGATTTTTGAAAGATTTTTCATGCCACAGTGTCTGACAAGTGTCTCGGCTTTATAATAAACAAGCCAGCAGAACTCGTGGTTAATAGCATAATGCTATTTGCAAATCACTGAATAAATTTATTTGCATCTCAAATTCCTGTATTTTGCTTTTCAGCATACAGAAAGTTTTTGAGGTGAGGATCATCAGTTTAAGACAGATGCTTTCAGAGATAAAAACAGACCTCAAAAATCAGGGCCCTGCATATGGAAATATAAGATCACTTTTGCTTCAAAAAATATCCACGGTTTAAACTACTTGCTGTTTTGCAGTAGTTGTAGTGCCATAAACATAGACACTGATATAAGATATTAACTGTATTAATAAATATATATGCACACATGAACCCATTTGAATTCTTTACTGAAAATTAGTTTTGATGTCTCCTGCTCACCAGTTTAAACATCTGATTTAGACTATCTTGAGTTCAGCTATTTACTCATTTCTCTCTTTGATATAAAAATGGCCTTACATTTGCTATAGGGCAATATAAATTACAGTTTATGTATTTAGGAATCTGTTCATGATATTTGTCATAATCCTAGGAGAACCCAAAAGCCTTTCTAACTGTGATTGTGGTTTTCTTACAGTAGTAGGCTGTTTTACATGTTTATGTTTTACTCAAATGTTACTAGTGCTATAGAAATGTTTAATGTGTTAACTAAGGTCTTTTTTTTCCAGAATGTGGCTGTAGTTGAGCTGAGTGATTCTGATACAGATGAAGACATACTAATTTCAGAAGATGACTCAGAATCTGAAGATGACTGTAAAACTGATGAAGTGACAATAGACAATATTAAGTTTCCTAAACAAAAGGGAGAAAAGGGTAAAATAGAAATTTTGGACAGCAAAGCGAATGACTAAATCTATTTTTATTTTACTTAAAAAAAAACCAAAACAAATTGTGTTTTATTATTTTGAAGACTTGGGCCTTAAACTACCTTGTTTCCCAATGTAGCGTCCTAGGATCACGTGAAATGCTATAGTTTTCATGGTGGAGAATTCAGGATCCACTCACGACTGAGGCAAGCTGGATTTCTGAAGAATTAGGAACGGTTTTATTCATCAGACAATATGGAAATGAACTTCATCATAGGTTAGACTAAGAAAGCAGCTAGAATTTGGGACACTTTAATTAGTTCAAGTTAAAATCCTCGTTCCCTTGCTTTGTTAAAGATTTTTGTAGTATGTTAGGGGTTTTCACTTCAAGGGCAGGAAAGAGTTAACTAGTGAAGAAAGCTTTGGTTTTTATATTCCATGTCCTGTGAAATGATATGTACAATGTCTTCAACATTAAACATTATCTTAAAGTACATTAGAGAGATGTCTGCATTGCATTCATGACAATAACTGCTGAGGCTGAGGTCACTTCAGGAGGAGCTGGCATGGGTGAGGGCCACTGGGACTCAAGGGAGAGTTCAGCAAAGGATTACTTTTCCTCTGTGCCTGCACCGAGCTCCGTATCGCTACAGGGAGGTTATGAGCTCACATCTGAAATGTTTGTGGCTGCAGTGCAGATCCCCTCTGTACTTAAACAGGCAAGCCCCCCCTCTCTGGTGTTGACAGTTGCTTTAAACTACACTTTCCATCTCTCACTTTCCCTGCTATGTTTCTGTCCTCTCCATTTCGTTAACAACCGTCACTGCCAGAAGAATAAAAAGGTGAATTTTCAGCTGGCCTGTATATAGGCTAGCTTGAAACAATTGTGAAACCAAAATCAGTGAAAGTGTGACTCATTCATACTTACCTTGGTTTGATCAAATACAACAGCCCAAATCATTGCATTTCCTTCACAGATTGGTTTGCATTTCCAAAGTATCTGTCATGCTCCTGGATGTCATCCTTCATTTCTTAAAGGAACTTTGTATTTTCTACACCATTAAAGTAAAATTTTCTATATTGTATTTGCTCAAATATTAAACATAGTGTCATGACTCAAACCCTGCAATTATTTACATAATTTATTTTTGATTCCTTAAAGCTATAGTTTTAATATCTATTTCTGTAATATTTTTGATAAGAAATAACAAGGATTCTGGTCTTTCTTTCACAGGGCAGCTTCTTAAAAATAGAAGGGAGCATGATTTACTGGGATTTACTGGGATTAACTGACTAAACCACAAAACATTTTAGAGAGTGGGAAGGATGGGAATCAAAGAATAGGACCGCTCTATTTTTATTGGCAGCCCACAGATCAGATTAAGCTTTGGGTGGAGTAGTACTGTAAGAAGAGCAAGTGGTTTTAGGTAGGCTTAGTTAGATAAGGTCACAATCTGTGGAAAACTTCTCTTCAAACGGAAGAAAGTTTGAAAGCCAAGATCTTAACTCAGTCATTTTACAAGAGATAGTCCCGCAGATTAAAAAAAAAAAAGTATGAGACACAAAGTAATAATCATGCTGTATAAAACGGTGATAACAGTCCATGCGCACAGACACAAAAGTGATTTTAATCTGTTAATGTAACCACCTCCCAAATTGCAGGCAGATCACACATTCCGTATCAAGGAAAAGATAGAAAATATTTCCAGTAACTTTAGCTTGATATGCATAGTTTAACACCGATGTTGAACTTTGTACGTACTATACAAAGATCATAGTAAGTGCACTTTCTTGCATTGGTTTACTTATGGCACAAAGGTTTTCTGTACTGCTGAAGAATCACCAGAGCAGAATGTTTAATTGCTACTGTAAAACTCGAACTGCTTTATAGCAAAAATGGCATAAGAAGTATATTTTAGTTCAACTTCAAGAGAAGCCTAATGACTAAAGATTTAAAGTGATCATGTAAATATTATGTTCACATAAATAAGAAGTAGGCATGTGAGAACTCATTCTTCAGTTGTATTTTTAAAAAGTAAGCCGAACCATGTTCTTTTTTTTTTCGGGGGATTTTGTGCTAACAACTACTACTGCTGCTGCATAATTTAAATAACTTCAGGTTAATTTCCAAATGCTTTTATCTTTCCATGAGACTAAAATTTGGACCTGATTTATAGAAACTGATCCATGGAATGGGTGGGGGTTTTTTTGTTTGTTTGTTTTTTGGTTTGTTTTTTTTTTTTCAGTTGTAGCACTGCAGACAGCATATCCTAGGCATCGTATTAAGTGTTTCATGGAGTCATTAAGATTCAAGCTCCGCTGAAAGTTGATTTTCCAAGTGAGGCTGTTACTTTAATATTCCACAGTGATAGCCTTGGTTCTAAGGTATTCATGAAGAGCTTCTTCACCTGTACAAGCACAATATTCACCAGTTAGAATAGCACCTAAATAAAAGAATGTTGTAAGAGACTGTAACTCTATTATTAAAAACTTCAAAATGTTTTAGCCAATAGTTGAGTCCTTAAGGAACAATGGAAACTAATTAACTTACTGAAATTTACAGAACTAGTTTGACAAGAAGAGGCTAAACCAAACAGATGTGGAAAGAAGAAGGAGCTGGAATTTAACAAGCAGCCACCTGGGTGGGACTGAAGCAGTGGCAGTCTCTAGATGGCCACTGGGGGCTCACAGCTGAACTTTCAAACTCCAGTTTGCCCATGCTAAGTTTCTAGGCAGGCAAAGAAACTGTAAAAATCGGTAGTCTTTCTTTCCTGACATTATTCCTTATTTCGGTTGCAGGAAATGTCTGATACTTGCTAGAAATTCCAAAGGAAAGAATCGGTTCTATCATTTCATTTATCTTTGCCACGAGGCTTGATCTGTCCACAGATGTAAAGTTTCTTTGACAGACTAGACCTCACCTTTTTAAAAACTGGGTTTGAAAAGAACAAGATTTTTTAGGTGTCTTTCTCTGTGGCTGTCGGCAAATTTTGATGGCATTTTAAGGCATAATAAAGTTTCCCATGTTCTTACAAGTTTAGAGGAGAAACCTAAATTACTGTTCTTTCTGAGGGGAGGGAGAAGAAAGAAGATTTTGGCCAATGCCTTTGCTGCTTGACAGCATTTGGTAGCCTGCAGGCAGCTCTGGACAAGCTGTAATATGACTGCTTTGAGAGGAGTCACGGAGGAATATTCTGAGGGCCATAGCGTTATTCACAGGAAGGGCTGAACCGGAGGTACTGAGGCAGGAATCTTGTAAGGATGGGAAAGGAACTAGATTACTGTAATTGAAGGAATGTAGGAGATGCAGGAAATGCATCTATAGCTCATGTTTTACTAGATATGCTTTACACAGGTAAGGTGGTTTTTTCATTGAGTTGGACTGTCAGATGAGTGTTGAGGGAGGGAGAGAACAACTTACCTAAATCTTTCCCGAAGCCAGACTGTTTAAATCCACCGAATGGTGCTGCCACATCAGTTTTGTTATATGTGTTAATAAAAACTGTTCCAGCTTCTAGCTTTTCACTGATGTAGAGAGCTTTGCTAATGTCTTTCGTGAAAACTCCTGAAGCTAAACCATATTCTGTGGTATTTGCCCGTCGCAGCACTCCATCGATATCCCTACAGGGGAAAGAAATTATTTAATGGCAAACAGGTAAAATAAACAAGTGTTAGCAACCTTCGACCTTCAGTGTCACTGAAGGTCCTTTTTCCATGCTCTTTCTTCTCCAGTTGGCTTTTTTGAAGACAACTTATTAAGGACTAATCCCTGTGTCAATCTGACAGATCTATGGAAATTCATACCCTTGCTTCGAACTTGTAAATCTTGTAACCTTACATTTCAGGGGCCAAGATCTACACTAAGAAATGTCAAAGGAAAAGTTGCACTACTACCAACTTTGCTCAGCTACCGTACAATTTGGGGATTGGAGCAATACAAAAATACTTATAAAGCTGATCTTGGCTGCAGATTATGCATCAGTTTGCTAAAATTTTGGCGTTGCTTTACAAGTTAATGGAGAATAAGTGCTGAAACTCAGACTTCTATCAAGGCACAACTTTTTAGGTCATGTCCAGAGTGCTATTTTCTATTTGTATCTCATCTTCATATAGCTTCAAAAATCCATAATAATTTAAAAATTTAAAATACTCAATACAATCTCTTGCCACCATACATAATTTATAGATGTGAAGGGCTATCTACGTGGCTGGTTCTTAACTGCATTATCGGACTGCAGAAAATGAAAGCTGGTGGAAAAAGTTATGTGAGGTTTCTGTATAGGATTTTCATCTCATCTGTGTGTGAAATAATTCCTGTGATTTGGAATGAAAGCTATTAAAACTGGCAGTCTACATAATATACAGAGGGATTTTCATTTGCAATAGTAATGTGCGAATGCTACACAATGCACAACAGCGCTATGCAGTCTTTCATGACAAAGAGAAAAATAAGCAATTCCAATGGAAAAAATACACATTTCGTAATTTGATCAAGCTGTTGCAATTACCACATCAACTTCAGTAAAAATGTTTCACTGAATACTAAGACTTATTTAAGAACTGGCACTTAGGGTGGCATTCTATCCTGTCACACACTGCTAATAGCATTAGTTCTATATTGACATGGAGCAGGATACCCCTTACTAAAAAGGGTATTTTCTCAGAATTTAGCTGGAAGAGGATCTAGGGATTCACACTGGTCTTAGGAGATTTAACAACATCACATTAAGTGTGCTATCATTTCCATGTTTAGAGTGAAAATGAGAAAATAAAGTTCCTAACAGTAACCAGAGGAGAACATACCCATTTTTAAATTTAGAAATCACCATCACAGGACCAAAGGACTCTTCCTGGGCAATATACATATGGTCTTCGACATCCGTGAATACAGTGGGTTCCATGAAGAAACCTAAACAGAGGACAGAGTATCATTTAAGCATGGTGAAAATGCTTAGTGGTTTGTATTGTCCAGGCCATCTCTTCTCCATGCTTTGAGGTCAGAGATGTGTTGAGACTTGAAACAGAAAATACTGATATGAATGAAGTATGAACGAAAATGCA